AAATATATTCGCGCGATATGTAGATATAAAAATTAAATTTCTGTTCTTATATAGTATAATTCGGTTTTATACACTAATGCGGTCTGTAGAGCCGATTGATTTTATTGCGCATCATTGCGGAACTATATATCACTGGGATCGTTTTTTCGGAGCAAATTCAATTGAATGCATCTTGAGAACGATCTCGAATTAGGATCTGGAATGATGTTGCGTTGTGCGCAGGAATTCAGTTGGGGTTAAAGGGTTAAAGCGCTATAATCCGCCGCATCAGGCAGGCGGAATTGGCAGCAAAAATCCAGTCGGTTGAATCACCCTGATGATATAGCTACAGTCGGGCGGCTATAAAGCGAAGCGGGAGAGCTTTAACCGGCATTGTCGTCGCGCGTGTGTGAAAACAATAACGGCGTAATTGGGCCAATAATAAAATAATCGTTAGATACCCGGGAGCTGCATGCGTGGTACATTTGTCTTCTCTTTCTCTCTCCTTCTCTCTCTTTTTCTATCTTTCTACGTCGTATCTTCGTGCATTTAAGCGCGGAAGACGTTCTCATTGGCGTCAGACACGCATTTTACACAATCGCGATTTAGCGTCGTAGGCAATTTCGAATAAAAAATTAAACCACAGGGAAATTTTATGAAGAACGTGCAGAACTGCTAGTGGCGATTAGCGTATATTACCTGAGCGTATTTTAATAGCAAGCTATTTCGGAGAATTAGGATTTTAATCTCTTCTAAGTTTTTGAAGAGAAGAGATAATTATTTTAGACTTACTTTTATTTTAGAATTATTTTAGAATTACTTATCTGAGTAATTTCAGTATTCTTGGTTAGATTTGATTAGATTTGCGTCTATCTGAGTTTAATTTACGGATAATTAATGATAGTAAAATATAGTTTGGCTTTCTTCATTAATTATTCTGTTCATAACTGTGAGATAATGAAAGAACGTAATCATTAATGAAAATAAATCATAAGGTATCAGAAAGCAATGACGGTAACATTATAATGCGGATGGGTCGCGAAGGTCGAAGTTTACGGGCACATTCGAGCTCCCCGAACTTCCGACAGTCGATACGGTGCCGGCGATTTATCGGGTGCAGAGTGCTCTGATATCGCTGGTTCCGATCGACGAAGGCCTTGGAAAACCTAGCCATCATATACAAGGTGGCCTCATTAATTATTGAAGATAATTTCTCACATTTTCTCAATGATTTATAAACTTAAAAGAAGCACGAAGACAAATGTTAACAATGCTTCTTCGTTTATTACACGGAGAAAATTTTATATCAAAAATTATTATGTACGGTAGTAGCCGCAAATCATGAAGGAATTATAAAAATTTTTACTATGTTTTTCACATAACGGCCATAGTATTTAAGCTTATAATTTCTCTTATGGTCCGCGGCTACTGCCGTATCGTAGTAATTTTTGATATAAAATTTTCTCTGTGAAGGGATTAAAAATCGATAATCGTTTTGCTAACAACGGAATTCTATATTTTGATTAATTGTTTGAATAAACTCTAATTTAATAAGAGATTAATGAGATCTGATGGAAATAAAGAGTCTTGCCGAAAAGACGTCCGAATTTTTCTTCTCAAAGCAATTTAAATTCATCGAAAAAGTCGCGTCCGATCAGTATCGCGCAATTTCCGGAACACTGTGTTATGAGCGACATTGGTTTTGAGATTGGATAGGTGAGAGGGATGCAGGAAGGTCTTCGCGAAAAAGAAGGTGCTGACGTTGTCATTTGGCTTAAGCTCCACCCCGCGACTCGAGGGTCGGTCGATGAAACCCTGTGAACCCCGCCTTAAACTATCTCCGATGGAAATGTATTATGCAACGCACGCGTACTCAACACCGGCTAGCTCTTAAGCCGAGCTTTAATACATTGTCTTTTCCCCGCTGGCCTCGCGCGCGACATCATTCCGCAAAACTGCGCGTGTAAGTGCTTTTTGACATTAAATATTTTAATCGCGAATGTGGCTATATCCCCTCCTTCGCGTTTACCGGACACAGCTACGACCATCTATATCCGTGCTCTCGGAAAACACATCCCTAGGTTATATTACATTGGTTATTAATATTTTACATATTTTCACGACCGCAAGCGGCAAAAGCCCTAGAAAACAACGTTGAAAGAGTTTAAATTTCTTTGTTATTTAGAAAGAAACGAAAAATTTAAGTACGGTTAATCCTCTTCATCCTGAATGTAAAAGCGAGCAAGAGATAAAATGTAGTTGAGCTCAAGTATATTTATGTGTTTATATGAGATAAAATATAACACGGAGAGAGAGAAAACTCATACATATATAATAATTCACATGTATGTTTTTTACGAGTTTAGAAATTGTTCAAACTATAAGTAATTTTAAATATTTTTATAGTTGTGCGTTTGCTAGTGCAATGTATGTTAAATTAACATACAATAGCGAAAGACGATCGATGCGCTCTGAAAACAGAGTCTGTAAACTCTTATTGTTTTCGAAAACAATAACGAGGTATGCTTTCCGGAAAATCATTCTCGCGAGCTTTTCCCGATTGTATTTTTGCTTCTTCAGTAAACACGCAGAAATAATATTTCCTAAAAAATAATTTTGATATCCGCACCACTTCTTGCGCGCGACATATTCTCGGAATAGCCTTGATGCGTGATTACAAGGCGCTTCATTTACGAAGAGGATTACGCGGCAGAATCCGTGCGAGAATCATCCGCAAGATGCAGCTGTCCTGGACATCATTCGACCCGTCCGCTCTCTTTCATTGTCGAGATTACAGGACAACGTTGTTTGTTTGTCCGCGCTTTACACATAGCGTACGTTCATCAGCGCTGATGCACGGATCCAAATCAAACGCTCGATTTTGTTGCGTGGCGATGCAACTCGTTCGAAAAATCAAACAACGCGTCGAAAGGATTCGCGCTTCTGATTTATTTTCTGCCGTGAAGAACGCAATAGAGCTGCAATAAGCGACCTCGCCTACTATCTATCTGTTGACTACACACTTGGAAAAACTCAAGACAAACTTCAAATCGTGTTTTAATAAAAAAAAAAATTTTTATTTAATTCAATATTTATAAATTTAATATTGTTTATAGTAAAAATTTGATACAATAGCAGAGAAAAACAAATAATGTAATGAAAAATTAAATATTTTCGATATGGCATTCAATTAGCGGTAGCGCTCGCAATGTGCGGTTAATGAAAACGTTTTCAGCGACGGAATCGAACTCGGAGACTAAATATTTACAATTGTTATACGTGTATTATCGAGCGAATATCATTTAATTATTCTGCTCATTCAGTATCCTCTAATTCATTCCTGCCTACCAAGCCTGTGGCAGAACAAATATTGGCACTGTCGATGCCGGAATAATCCAATTCCAACTTCGCTTTCTTCGAGTGTAAAGCACGTTAGGTCGCGTTTATACACCTCTCTATTGCTGCATGATTAGCTTTTTCTGCAATCTCAAAGCAGATTCAAAGTTTGCATTGAAAAGCTTATATGTATATTAGATACGGATACATTTCAAAAAATAATGAATTACACATATTTATTAAAAATAATAAACCACAAATATTTATGTTTTATAAATAAATATAAAAATAATGGTTTGACGTAAAAATGGAAATATTCTGTTTGTAAGAAAAAGATGAATGGGTGCAAGAACTGGAGATTTTATATGAATCAAAATAAGTAGGAATTAACATATCAATGTTTATCAAAATATCACTCGTTTCATATTTTGTGTGAGACATGTCGAAGGAATTTATATGTAGAAACGATTTATCGAATTAAAAGTTGTGAGATGCGAAAACGTCAACATACACGTTTTTATTTGAGTTTGACGTCTGAGTTACTAGAAAAACAACAAAAATAAAGTTGCATTTCCCGCTTCATGTTTTCTTCGAAAAGCGTCGAGGCGAGTCGGAAGTTGTCATCGACTTGTTCGGATTCGCAATTTTTGTTTCAGTTTTTTATCGATAGGAAAGCATAGGTGTTATCAACATAAAAAGTTAGATTGATAATATAATTATTTATATTGTCTTAATAAAAATTTACTGAAAATCAACGTAAATAATTAAAACTTTGTCTAAAAATGACTCGCCAATAATCAATATCTGCATTTCGTTGTGTAGCGACATACACACACACACACATA